CAGGCTGCTGGGGAAGTTCTGCTCCGGTGCTTGGAGCACATCCTTCTGCTCCTTCTCCAGTGATCTGGGGGTCTGCACAGTTTTTCTTCTACATCTTGCTCTCTACACCGTGAAGTTCCCCCCACCTCACCTGATGACCAGTAACAGAAAGTGATTAGCCAATGTAAAAGGATGAGAAGTGGAGAACTCTCATGAAAGATACCATAATATCACCTGTGAATTGTAGCTGAGAAAGTTCTATGGGAACAACTGCAATGATCACATTTTAAATGTCATTTTAAAATAGTAATTCAGATTCTTGGTATTTTTCTCTAGAAAAAAGAATGTCTGGTGTGCTGAGGAGACAAAGAGGAAGAGCTAGAAGTTAATGCCAGAGGCTTCTTTTTCCCCCAGCTTTCCAAAGTGACTATAGGGTGTACTGTTTAATATTAGAACATTTTGTTCCACCTCTGTTTCCACGTTGACTGTAACTGTGTCATTCTTGTTGCCTCTGTCAGGTCTTTCATGAGTGTTTCCTGGAACCATGCCACAACAATGGGACATGCAAACAGTTGGGAAGTGGATATATTTGCATATGCCCACTTGGATATATAGGTAAAAAATTAAGAAGCAAGTGGAGGAGCTCATGTCTCCATGCCCTTAACATGAGCAGGCATAAAGGAGCAAAACACTGTGGTGTCATTTCAGTGCCTAACTGATTGGAATATCCATCACAGATTTACCATACATAAGTACTAAGAAAAGAAATAGTTGCTCATGTTCTTGCTGAATTATATCTTGTTTGGCAGAAGAGGATTTGAATGGGGTTTCTTTTAGTTGAATTAGTGGATTTGAAAATCCTATCACTTGGCACTATTTATGATTAGCAAATCTGGAAATTTGCACTCTAAACAGCTAATTCCCCCAGATCTGCCTGTGCTCCAGTTGCTTCTAAGCAAACAGGTGACTTACTATTCAGCTATTATCAATAAGTGATCTCTGTTCCTTGCGATGCGTATTAAACGCCACTGTCTAGAACTGATCAGTCTGTTGCCTGATGTGCATCATGCCTTTCTAATAGATTTTAGTCCCGGGTCACAGTCTAAAGAGAAGATAATAAACCTGGATTTCTGGTAATATACACAATTAATCAGTCATGGATTTATACATTAAGTAGTCATGACTTCCATGTTTCTGAACAATTTCAAATTTGTCTCCTCATTCTTAGTCCTTTATTTTACATTCTAGGCTTGAAATGTGAAACAGAAGTTGATGAGTGTAAATCATCTCCATGTCACAACAATGGAATGTGTAAAGATGGCATTGGGACCTTTGTTTGCGATTGCCAACCAGGCTATTCAGGTAATTTGTTTCATTTCATAGCTCTTCTTCAGACAGGCATTATTTCTGTGCCAAGTAGATAACACAAAACACAAGGGCTGTATAATCCATGGAATTATAACAGGGAAGCAATCTGATCTACAAGTTAGACTAAGGTTCTACATGTTGAAGGCATTGAAATCTGTGCGGAAACTGGCATGCTTGAGTACTTTACCAAAACAGCACCTAATTTCTAAATACTGAGATAAACTATTGAGGAGATAATTTTGTGTGATCGAAAAACAGGCCTGGTGTTTTCCAGCAGAAATGGTGTCCCTCACTTTTCATGTTTATGGCTATACATTTATCAACAGCCACATTGGCTGTATATTTTTTAAACTTTATAAACACAAACCATGGACTTCACATTTTTCACATCCCTGCATTTAAGTAACACAGATGGTGTCTGTAGATGTTTGCAGTAGTGCAGTCAAACATGGAATTTTATCACCTGATCCCATAGCTTTTTGTTATGGAAGCAGTATGTTGTTGTTCTGTTTTCCACATCCAGTCACTGCAGCATGCAGACCTTGAAAATGTCTTGATCATGCCCTGTAACCCTTGATGTTTAAAGGTCTCTTGTGTGAGGAAGATATAAATGAGTGTAGCTCCAGTCCGTGTTTGAACGGAGCCCACTGCGTTGATGGCAAGAACAGCTACCGCTGCACTTGTTCAAAAGGATTCACAGGTACACCTTTTTCTGTTTAAGTCAGCCTTCACTCGTTATGACCAAAAAAAGATTTCTTCCTACCCTGCCCAAAGTATTTCAATCTCACTGGTATAAATTACGTATGTTATATGTTGCTATGGATGTACTAGATTCCCTCAGTCCGTGTAATCTCTCAGAGTCCCTGTAGTGTAAGTGTGTCTTCAGAAGGTTTTACTAAGTGGTGAATCCTCTGTTCCTAGTCTTGCCATGAAATTCACTGCGTGATGTTGAGGAAAGAATAAGGACGTGCACATGGCTGCAAATTGTTAATTTTTAATTTTATTTTAAGAAGAAAGATATTATAACAGTAAACAAGACTGTATATATTAAAACTACTCCACAGCTTTCTATGGCTTTCATAGCTTTCTGTAACAACTGATTGTTGTCAATAATGTTGATTATCATGTTGCCAAAGAGCGCCACTATAACATCACACACAGATTCTTCATTCTCTGATGCTTGTAACATAGACACTTTTTCACAGCAGAAATCCCAGAATCATGGGGTTCTGGATTTCATGCTTTTCCTTAGCGCTGATGTTCTGGCTAAATGTCTTCTGTAGCAGCTTCTCATTAGTTGCTCAGAACAGTTTCTTAGGTGATTTTCTGATTCAGCCCAAATTACTCACATAATGGGCAATATCCATTTACATTCCCCACAGTTTGCTGAGTGTTAATTTCTGTAACAGCAAAGATGGTTCTTGTAATACTTCTATTTACCACTTAACCTCAGTTAATGGAGTAAATCCCAAACCGGCATGGCTACCGTGGTGTTTGCTGTTTCCCAGAATACTGGCAACAATCCTTAAAAAAACCAGAGATGGGTTAGTAATCTTCTTTCTAGGTTAATTCAAAGCAGAGCTGTGACTTTGTTCTTTTCTTCTTAGGTGCTCACTGTGAAATGGAGGTCAATGAATGCCTTTCAAACCCGTGTCTTAATAGGGCTATTTGTGAAGATCGAGTTGGCAGTTTCGCCTGCAAATGCCTCCCAGGTTTTACTGGTGTCTTGTGTGAAAGAAACATCGATGAGTGTCTCAGCAGACCCTGTAGGAATGGAGCTACATGCAGAGATGGTATCAACAGCTTCAGGTGAAAAACAGATGATTGATTTATTATGAAGTGGAAAGTCAGATATGTTGTGGTGCTTAAGCCTTCTTAGATTTCAGCAAGGCAATTGGCAGCCTGACCCAATATAAATGGTCCCTTTATGTACGCTTAAGGAGATTTTAAAAGGCAATAAAATAAATCCTAATGTCCTCACTTTTAAAAAGGAAGACAGCAAAGAAATATGTAGTGTTTGAAACGTAAGCGTAGTAGGACTGCATGTTTTTAATATTGAACTTCCAAAATGCACATTCCAAAGCTTCAAGTGTTTGTCTTGCTTTCCACTAGAAGAATATGGGCTGACAAGTTATGTACCTCAATTTAAACCCATTATCCCTTGTCCTGTCACTCAGCTTCCTTGTAGCTCCTTCAGGTACTGGAAGGTGCTATAAAGTCTCCCTGGAGCCTTCTCTTCTCCAGGCTGAAGAAGCCCAACTCTCTCAGCCGGTCCCCATAGCAGAGGTGCTCCAGCCCTCACCAGAGCAGAGTACAGGGGCAGAATCCCCTCCCTCGACCTGCTGGCCACACTTCTCTGGATACAGCCCAGGATACGGTTGGCTTTCTGGGCTGCCAGCGCACACTGCCGGCTCATGTTCAGTTTTTCATCC